TCTATAAATGACAAAACCGATGTTTTAGAAAGGAAACTCTTGTTGAACATACTGAAAGGAAACAGAAACTATGTAAGATGAATCCTCGGCCTGCTATTAAAATGAAAATTGCCCAAGCCTGAGTCTTAGTCCAGGACTCTGCAATAAGGCTGACATTTAAAGCAGTGCAAATGAGCCTTAATTAAGTCCATACACCAAACCAATTATAATTTGCATGATGAAGTTAAAAACTAAAAAAAAAAAAAAAAATCAAGGAAGAATGAATTGAGGATATACATATTAGACCTTGTCTGGAAATCTTTTTAGATTGTTGTAGATGGACTTTTCTGGTGGTTCACAGAGGTCCATCCCCACCCAGTGATGTCCCCTACCTGTACACCTTGCTCTTTGGATGTGGGCATGAACAACATGTGATATAACATAAATGATTAGCTTACCTCCTATGATAAAGCCTATGGGATTTTGCAGATGTAATTATGGTTCCAATCAACTGACTGACTTTGGCTTTGAGTTAATGAAAAGGGAGATTTTCCTGGTTGAGCACAGCAAATCAAGTGAATTGCTTAAAGAAGTCGAAGATCCTCAGGGAGGCTCATTTGTTTGTCTCAAAGGAGCAAAGCCATGATGAGTTCTACATATTCAAGGAAAAGAATTTTTTCCAACATCCATGTGAGGTTGGATGAGGTCCCTGAGCACCACAAGAGACAGATGCCATGCCTGATACCCTGTTAGAACTTCACAAGCCATGCCCTGGGAATCCCAAGACAGTAGGCAGATGTTATTTCACTCGATAAATGTGTGATAATATATTTTTTGGGAATAGACAATGAACGCACATGTTGGGGACTAAAAGTGGGTGCTGATGTAAGTAAAACCTAAGATACAGTGGCATCTTTGTAATGAGAGGATGGGGGGCAGAGACTAAAGGAGAGCCCAGCATGAAAAGGGTTAACTGCCCTGAACAGTGGTTGGTAGACAAATGACCTCTGTAATGAACTTGTAAGAGCTTTGGAGGAAAAAAAAAACAAGCTGTGGTATAGTGGAGAGAGGGTTAATGTAGTGAAATTGTCTCCTGCAACTGTGGAAGCAGAACTCATAAAAGGTAGGCGGGGTACTTCACAGTAGAGTTGTTCAAGCTGCTGCCTTTTTTTTTTTTCTTGCTGTTCACAGGAAAACACAAGATGAGAAGTTGAGAGAATGAGAATGGGTACAAAACTGCAATAGAATCTTAGGATTCTGAGAAGTGGTCCATAGCAGTGATACACTTTGCACAGGGGAGGAGAGGGGGTAAGGATGCTTTGTATTTTTTCCAGGAGTTCTGCAGCAAGTCCTCGAAATTATCCATAATCCCCAGAGAGAGCTCCCATGGCACAGAAGGAAAGCTAAGATCATTACCATGCCCTTCCACCCACTGTATCTGTGGCTATAGTTTTTTTAATTGTGTGACTACATAAGGCATAACACATTCACAGGAAACAGATGATATCAGGGAAGAATATCACTGATGCACAGGAAGAAAGCGACAAGTGCAGATCCGTGGTGACTTTCCCTCCCAGCTTCAAAGAAAGACTGGAGCATGGATAGTCTTAACTGGACATGGCCCTGTGTTGAGGAGAGGGTCTAAAAAGCAGCCTGCCCAAAACCTGTTAGTTCACTGGGCCAAGCTTTGAAGGAGATCCTGCTTTCAGGGCAAGGAAGATAAAAACCTAGATTGTCCCAAACAGTTCACCTCTGCCACAGATGTTCTATTTTCTCAGAGGACCTGGAAGTCACTCCATATCTCAGACACTGCATTCCCATTCTAACAAACATAATAAAGAAAGGGAAGCAGGAAAAACTGGGATTCCACATGGCAACCCAGAGAAATTTCATGCATAAGTGTGCTTTTTGTTAGAGAGAGAAAAAAATAATACTGTGTGATAGAAGATATATGTGATATATATGTACAGATCTATGATAGAAAATATATTTAGACCTGCCACTTACAGGTCTAAAATAATTACTATTTTTATAGAAATAAAAAGCACTCCCTCTGGCCTAGAAGATGAAAATGGAAGCTTCCAGGGTAAGTCAGTAGGACTCTGTGGTGCGTCGACAGTCATACTAGGGTCAGTTGTCATGGTTAATATAAAAAAGCAGATGATGGCAGAGCAAGGTAAAGGAAAAAGAAACCAAAGCTCGAACAGCACCGGTCCTAATGAGGAGACAGCATGTGCCCTATACTGTCTATACTATAGGGCCCTTCCTGTAGGGCATCTGTCTGTTTTCAGCTTTTAGTTAGGACTTCCCCTAACCCAGTACAACGGAAAAGTCATCACACACCATCTTCTGAATGCATTGAAGAGATGTGTCGGATAAAAGAACGTCACTGGTGCTGACTCAATGGTTGTATTTTAAGGGTTGCATTTCCATGAACTTAGAAGACCCATTTGTGGAATACACCCATCAGAAGATTTACTTTTGTTTCCAGTCTAGTTTTAGCCTGAGGAAGTTTTCTGAGTTCTATGCCACACATAATTAAATTAATAGAAAGGAAAGGGAGATTTGAACAAGCCATTATTCCTTTCAATCTTTCCAAATCTTCCTATGTAAATAACTAGAAAACTGTGAGATAAACCATTGGTTCTCAACAGTAGCCGGGGGTCTTCAAGACATCACTAAGGAGGAAGACTTTTAGCTAAAGACCTATAGTTTTAGCTCTCATTGCCTGCATAACAGTAGAGGCTGTGTTATTGTGCTTACAAGACTCAAATTGTACATAAAATGCCTTATCTAAAAATAGACTTTATTGTTTGAAAATGACATCCCTTATTTTCCTTTCTGTGGGTATACTCTAAAATTCTGTGGCATGTTATTCTCCTCTTTATGCCAACTTGATGGTGGGGGTCTTGAGAATAGGCAAAAAATGGTAGTGAGCCAAGTCTGATGAAAGGCTATTGGATTGGAGTTTAAGGTTGAATTTTGAATATGAAGCAGGGAGACGCTTCCAAGGCATCCTCTTTAAGCCTCCAGTAGTCTGAATCCACCTACTAGGTAGATTAGAGTTCAGTGGATCAGTAGGACCAGAAAGACAATACTCAGGGATTCAAGTCTTTAAAGACAAGATGTGTTCTTACTCTAGGTCAGGCCTGTCTAGGATTCTAGACTACTCATCTCTATAGTAAAGAATTAAGAAGTCTAGATAGGATGTCTAAGCATTTTATATTCTTCCTTCCTGTCAGACTAAGTGATCAATTCCATGGAAAGAAACCCATCACAAGGGATCTTCTCATGTCTGAAATTTTCCAGATGAAAATCCTATAGTACTGAATCTTGAGATACTTTTACTGGTTCTCTGTAGAAACTATTTCACTGATAGATTAGAAGTCTATTATCAAAATCGAAGAATATTTTGTTATCTAAGACAATATTATATTTAATATAATTTAGGCTAATTTGCCATGAGAAAGGGCTTTTTTAAAAGATTTGTTTACATAAAATGGACTGTACCTCTTTAATTTATGAAGGCCAGACAATGGATAGGCCAGAGCTAGAGAAAACACATGGCTGTCTTGCTTGTATTGTGCCTCTGCCTGTAGGGTCAAGGCAGCCATGAACAAGCACTGGATGCTGAGCCTGTTTTTCTTGCACTTCATCATCCAGAAGTGTCACACAGAAGTCTCCCAGAAAATAATCCCAAGTACACACAGTTGTAAAAAATGCTGGTTTATAATCTTTTCAAAATTTCCCTATTAAACCTTGGAGAGTTCCATCATTAGAACACTAAAGACAAATGGATGTTGGGAAGCAACTAGTCACTGCCGTAAACAAGGTTCTGAAAACAGAAGAGAGTTGAAAATCTTTTGTGCTACATTCAAACTAGTTTTAGAAATAGAATGTGAGGGTTTTGAACCATCAACCATGACAACTAGATGGTAATTAAGGGTCATCTAAATCCCAGCTCTATAAACTATATGGGTCACAACTCCACTTGGGGTCACAAAGCTGAATATGGGGTGCAACAAATCTAGCACCATAAACAGTTTTTTTTTTTTTTTTTTTTTTTTTTTTGGTTTTTCGAGACAGGGTTTCTCTGTGTAGCTTTGCGCCTTTCCTGGAACTCACTTGGTAGTCCAGGCTGGCCTCGAACTCACAGAGATCCGCCTGGCTCTGCCTCCCGAGTGCTGGGATTAAAGGCGTGCGCCACCACCGCCCGGCCATAAACAGTTTTTTAACACACTATGACCCAAGTCAATTCAAACCCAAACATATAATGAACGGAAGACAATGGGGACAATTATATCAATATCATGTGACTATACTGGAACCCTGGTCCTAAACATACTACAGGTGCCTTTGCTCTGTTTACACTGTCATGCCTGAACAGCCCCATAAACATTCCTTCAAATACCTCAGCTCAGACTCCAGACTGCTATACATTATGAATTTCAGTGCTTTTATGTCCGTACAAGGTTTTCAGCTCTTACACCATCAATATGTTTTCATTACATAAATGAAAGACTTTTATATATTCCTGCTACCATTCTTTGGCATGTAAGTATCAAATCAGTCTACCATTGGATTGGATTGTGTTAGAATGTTTGACTTTGAACACTGCTAATTGAGTCCCTTACTCAAGTTTCACAAGGGATCATTAAGTAAATTTTGTCTTGGGATTCAGAGAGAATTTCCAACAATTCCTGAAATTGCCCTAAACATACATCTACCATTTTGTACTGTGTATCTACTCAAAGCAGCATTTTCAATTCAGACATTTACAATGTCAAAATACTTACCAACTTTAAAATGACACAAAGATATTCTGTCCTAGGTAGATCATCAACATTCAACCAAAATTTAATTCTTTATGTAAAAATAAGCAAGTTCATCAATTTCATTAGTATTCAAAATTGTTTTTATCTTTAAAAAATGGTAAAATTATGTGCATATCAAGTAATTGTCTCAAAATTGCTTTTCAAAACAGTAATTGTTTGATCTGTGTACCTTTTTTGTATACCTACAGACCCAAGTTTACCAGTAGAAGAGAAGCCTTGATCTATCTCAAGTAAGTACCTTGATTCATGATGTATCTAAGAGAGAAAAGTGATATTACAAACATCCTCTTATCAGAGTAAGGTAAAGCTGAGACTGGTCCATTAGTTCAAATATTTACCCTAAAGCATATAGACTTAGCACAAGGCATTGCTGTAGATATTCATTAAAAACCAGATGTAATGAGAGAGGGGGAAAGAATGAGAAATATGAGTGAAAAAAAACACAAAGAAAAAGAAACAGAGAAGAGTAGCAGAAAAGGAATATCTGAAAACGCGGGCAGAGGTGTTACGGTTCTTAGCTTCTCACCTATTTACCTATCTCTTGTTTTGTCTTTATTCTGGCCATGGTTTCATCAGGGTATTGGGACATCACTAGCAGAGACTGAAGTTTGGCTCTAAGTTGATAAGACAAGGCAGTGCACTAATATACCCCATTGTTCTTCCATGAAGGACGCAATGGTCCTTACCGTTGATGGTAGCAAATACGGCAGTGGATGCAAGGATGCTGTAGTCATCACATCATGGTGAGGGAACTTCTCTGTATGAGTAAAATTTGGTCTCATGTGGGAGCCCACAGAGGTTTCCTAGTGAGATCTGAGCTTGCTTTACCCAGCAGGGCTGCATAAAGGGATGGATTGACTACGTGCTTAGTTACCAGGTGTTTGGAAGGGTCTGCACTTGGCTATGCTAGGGGGAGGTCTTTTGCTCTACTCCTTGGCATTCCTTTAAAAAGCCTTTAGAAAAGACAGAAGGGGCTGGTAGATTAGGATCCAGGCCATCCTGAAGCTATCCTCTTTCTCTCTCTCTCTCTCTCTCTCTCTCTCTCTCTCTCTCTCTCTCTCTCTCTCTCTCTCTCTCTCTCCTCTCTATATTTCTATCTGAATCTCTTAGCCCTCACTCCTCAAGGGAACCCTGGGGGAAAAAAGTGGGGGCAAGCCCCCTACAGTCTCAGAAGTCAAGGTCAATGAAGAGAAGTCTTAAAAGGAGAAATGAGCTATATTTGGGGCTAGATCGGGGATGCAAGAGGCCTTGATGAGTGATTTCTTATATACCTGGTCAGTAAAGAAGCTCAAAATATGATAAATGACCACTCCAACTACTGTGGTCTGTACCCAGTCTTCTTGGCTACACAGCCTGTCTCCCTGACCACAAAACTCTTCTGCATGTCAATACTATTGTGTTTGTTCTAGATTGTTTATACTCTTTGACGATTTTTCTGTAGTGTATTCTTATTTCCCAAAGACAAGTATAAGTTCTTTAAACAAAAGAATTTGTGTTGATTTCCCTCTGGAATTTATCTAGTGCCAAGAATATCTTGTGATTGATGAATTATATGCAGTTATACCCTTGGAATCCAGCTGAAAATTCTTAGCAGTTTATGGCTCAGGACAAATTTGAAATCATCCTCTCCAATTTTATTTTTTAACTTAACAGGTAAATTGCCCATCATCTCAGGTCTTCGGAGCTAAGGGCATCTACTTTCATCCCATTTCCTTGGCTGAGGTGTGAGGGTTGTGCCCATCAAGAACTGGGCTACTGTAATATCGTTCTGACCCAAGCTGACATCAGTGAGTGATCCTTGAGGCACAAGGCCCTTTGCAGTATTTTTCTGTTAGCAGCATTTCACTTTTCATTTAGTTTTCATTGTCTACTAACTGGGATATTGCATTGCTGAGACCTAAGATTAGTTCCTTACAGAAGAACGGGTAGGAGTTTATAGCAGGCTCTGCTAGAATCATTACCCATTCTTCTCCTAGCGCTGCCTGGACCAAATGCCTTGATTCGTGACTGTCTGCAAAAAGGCAATGCTCAAATCCATAAGCCTACTCTTTAAGATGTATCTTTCTAGATGGGGAAGAGAAAGTAGAAAATGTTGCCTTTACAGCTATTTCAGTAAAGTGACCCGAGAACAGAAAGGGCTCACAATAGGGATTTGCTGAAGGAAAGTGTGAATTGTGGTGTTTTCAGAATTCTCCATAAAGGAGATGTCATTCCCCAAAGACTGGCCTTCTGCCAAAGGCAATTTCCTTGTACTTAATTCTCTGCCACCTTTTTTTTCTTTCAAAAGTCACCAATTCTCACATATGTTTATTCTCCTAGGCTTCTGATTCATTCCTGAGTCCCTTACAACTGCCTCTGTGTAGGTTAAAATTAATGAGAAACTGGGATGAAGAGTGGACAGAATGTCCTAAAGCACAGGGCTAGTAGCTTCTAAGCCTCAATTTGATGTCTCCATGTAAAAGAGACCTTGAAAAGTTGGTAAAAAGTCCTCAAACAGCCCAGGTCTCTAGTGAAAAATGACCTTCTTTCTTGTGGCAGAAATGATCACATTTTGTACCTCTCTCATACCATAAGCTTGATAGTCTGTGTGGTGATATATTTTGTACCCTAATAAACTTGCCTGAGGATCAGAGGACAGAGCCAGCCACTAGATTAGACATAGAGGTCTTCCCCTCCTCTCTGGGACCCATTAGAACATTTGGGTCTAGAAATACCATCCAGCTGCTTCCTGACTTGAAAGAATCAGCAATGTTCAGTCTCCCTGTCCCTTTTTGGATATATTCTAAGTCCGTGTGGGCCCCTCCTGCATGCTTTTTGTGTTGCCTTTTCTAGCACAGTACTGAGTGCATGGTTATTCAAAAGATAAACTCAGGATGATCACCCAGTCTCTAGGCAAACCTAATCATTAGCTCTATGGATGGATATAGAATCGGGTTTTTTTTTTTTTTTGGACAGAGAAAAGATTTTGGGTTTAATTTACTACAATATTTTTACCAATCAGAAAATGAAGAAATTGAGGTATGGGCATGTTGAATAACTGTCCTAACATCAAACAGTTACTTAGCAACGAAACTCGTTACATTTTTTAGTTGTTTTGACTCTTAGAACTTCTCACGGGATTGGGGAAAAAGGAAGCAAATGTAAAAGAAAGGAGAAAATTAAATCACAAATTCTTTTCAGCTTTGCTTAGCCTTTTCTCTTGTCCTTTGTGAAAATTTAAATCAAAGATATTGGGCCAATTAGAACGCAGTACACAAACTAGAACAAGAGCACGTCTGAGGACAGGTTGAGAAGAATAGACTGTGTGGAGCAACCCTCCTCTCTGTTCCAGAGAAGTCCAATGCAATAATCCCACCAAGAGCATCAGCAAACATAATTTAGAATCAATTCAGGCAGTCCCTTGGTGTTTACAGATAAGTTCTGAGAAAGAGCGATTTCATCTCCAAGAGATGGAAGTGAAGGCCTGATATTACAAACCATTTAACTTTTTGGGGGGATTCTTAAGAGATGAGTTTGCATAAAAAAATTTATCCGTTTCTGTTTAATCTCATTATACCTATACCAAGTGGGCTTGGCCATTTTCATTGAAATTCTAAAACAAATGAAAATCATAGAGTGAATGGTGGCATGTTGCATGAATCCTCATTGGTCTTATAATAAATAAAATACATACCCAGAGCCAGATATCAGGGTAAATGCTGAATGATCAGAGGAAACAAGCCACAGCCACTTCTCACCTTGCCAACTCCTCAGCCGAAAGGGGAAGATCCTGTCTCCACGAATCCTCAGACTGGATGCCTCTGAGTCCTCAGCCAAAAGAGTCCTAAACTCCTGTCTCCTCCTGCCTGTATTCCTTTCTCTGCCCAGCCATAGTTCCTTTCTCAACCTACCTAGCAATTAAACAATTAAAGGCATGTGATTCCCAATGCTGGGATTAAAGATGTGTGTTACCACTGCCTGGCTCGCTCTCTCTCTCTCTCTCTCTCTCTCTCTCTCTCTCTCTCTCTCTCTCTCTCTCTCTCTCTCTCTGGTTTTTGGAGACACAGTTTCTCTGTGTAGCTTTGCACCTTTCCTGGAACTCACTCTGTAGCCCAGGCTGGTCTCGAACTCACAGAAATCCACCTGGCTCTGCCTCCCGAGTGCTGGGAATAAAGGCATGCACCAACCACCACCCGGCTCTGTTTCTCTTTTAGACTGGATTAATCTTGTGTAGTCCAGGGTGGCTTTGAACTCACAGAGATCCAGATAGATCTCTGCCTCCCAAGTGCTAGGATTAAAGGTGTGTGCCACCACTGCCTGACCTCTGTGTTTAATCTAGTGGTTGGCTCTGTCCTCTGATCTTCAGGCAAATTTTATTTGTTAGAGAACAAACAAAATATCACCACAGTGGCATTCATTAATAAACTCATAAACGTATTGGACACTTACTCTAAGCCAGTGGTTCTCGGCCTTCCTAATGCTGCAAACTTTTTAAATAGTTGTGGTGGTCCCCCAACCATAAGATTATTGTCTTTGCTTCTTCATTATTATAATTTTGCTACTGTTATGAATCATAATGTAAATATCTGTGTTTTCCAATGGTCTTAGGTGACCCCTGTGAAAGTTTTTGTTTGACCCCCCCCCTCCCCGAAGGTGTTGGGACCCACAGCTTGAGAATCAGTGCTCAAGCAGACTTTCTGCTAGCTGCTCAAGAAATGCAGTGGACCAGCTGCTCTCCTTGCAGTGCTCAAAATGCTAAGAAACCCGAACATCTGTTCTTCCCGGGTCTCTGCAGTCCTGGGATCCAGCCTCATTGGGAAATTTTGTTCATATTGGCTTGTCCACTGTTCTAGAGAGAAAATTAAAGTTACAGGTCTTGAAATGGAAGCATCTGCTAGAAAGCCTAGCTCCAGCTTCCTCACGAGCTCTACGGCTTTTGATGTACCTTTGATACCTAACAGACTTTTGTATCCATTATCGATTGATAACAGTCACCCTCCAAAATCACAAGACTGAGCAGAATAGTCACCAGTTATTAATTCTCAGAAGTGAGGTGTTAGCAGTGAGGACAACTTATCTGAGAACACCTGAAAGCCTGGTTTTGTGCTTATGTGAGACAGGAAACTCCAAAAACTCCTCGTCTATAGTGTTGGTTTAGATAATGTCATTAGAGTACGGACTACATGTCCTTTGTCAATGACAGTTGTTGTGATTAGTATTTTCCCTTTAATATTAGACTGACTCGTATGGA